CATGTCCAGCTCAAACGCCAGCGCCATCGCCGACGCGAGCTCGATCGACCGCAAGGCCGCACGCGGCGGTGACGCAAGGTGCGTCAGCAGCAGTGACACCACCTCGGGCGACCGCAGCGACCCTAGTGCCAGACTGTGCTCGGGCAGCGCGAGCTTGCCGCGGACCAAGAGCAGCTGCTTGTGGACATCCGAGGCCGAAACAACGGTCAGAGCGCAGTCACCAGCGTCCGAGGCGAGACCGGCCTGCGACACAAACCACCGATGCGCTTCGGGTACGAGCTCCAAGACGTTGGAAGCTGCGAGGAGTGCGTCGCGCTGGACCTGGAGGATCGACGGTGCAAACGGCTCGAGCTCGAGGCGGAGGAAGAGCGAGTACATGGCGCGGGCCGCGTGCACAAACCGGCTCCGAGCGACGTAAAAGCTGTAGAGGAGACGGTACAAGGCCGACGCGCTCTGCGACGACTTGGCCGGCGACACGTGCGCGTGGGTGTTGGCGGCTTGCCACAGAAGCAGCTCTTCGACTTGCGCTTCAAACGCGCCCCAGCGCATGTCGCAGACCACGTCGACGCGGCCAGCGTCACAGAGCTGCAAGACAAAGTACCGGACGCACTCGTCCAGCGACGGCGCACTGGCACCGAGTGCCACGAGCTTTTGGAGCGCGGCGTGGGCACTCTCGTAGGCGCCGTCGGCCACGTAGAGCTTGAAGAGGTTGTACCACACAAACTCGAGCGTCATGTCGTCGTCGGCGACGTCGACGAGGATCGCTTGCAGAAACGACACCACGTGACTGCTCAGGCCCTTGGGCACATGCTCCTTGAGCAACGTCGTGAGCTCGACGACGACCGCCGCGCCTTCGAGATGGACGACACGGACAAGCGACCGAACGGCGCGGTCCAGGACCGTCTCTGTCTTGGTCGGTTCGAGCAGCAAGCATTCGCCGAGCAGGTACAGACGCTTGGCGTCATCGTCGTTGGCGTCATTGGCGTGGCGCAGCACGACGCGGAGGACGCTGTGGAGGCCGTTGCTTTGCAGAAACGGCAACAGCTTGGCGAAGTCGGCGATCGCTGCGATGAACGACCGCGTCGACGCGCCGAGGTCCCCGTCGACAACAATCTCATCCAGAATCGACGACGCAAACAGCTGCAGCACGGGCACACCCGACGTGGCCTGCACCTGGCTGCACAGCCAGTACAAGTTGGACCACGTGGCCAGCGACCGCTCGAGTGCCGGTCGCACGGTCGCTTCTAGGTGGCGCAGCGTCGCCTCCGCCAAAAACGACGGCGTCGCATCGAGGAGAAAGGTCACAAAGCACGCGCTCGCAGCAGCCGCGGCGCGCATGTCATGCAGAACAACGGCGCTCATACGGTAGAGCGCGAGCGCAAGGTCGGTCGCAGCCACGTCCTGGGCGCCCATATTCGCATCGTCCGAAATACTCGGCAGCGCAACGTGGGCGACAAGGGCATCGAAAATCGCCATTTGCGTCGCCGCGTCGCCCGAGAGGACGCTGGCGGTCCGTGCAAGGACGCTTGGGACATGGCGGCCACCGCTGCCGTCCCCGAGAAGCCCGGCTTGGACAACGTCCAGAAGCGTCACAGACGGCAGGTCGTCGGCTTCGAGCACGTCCGACTGCCACTGGCGTTCGAGCGACGCATAGTAGGCCGCGGTGGGAAACGCCGCAAACGTAGGCAGAAGGATCGAGTCGTAGAGGTCGGCGATCGTCGCCGGGCGGTCGCCGAGGATCGAAGTGGTGGCCGGGAAGAACACCGACATGTGGTTGCGCCGCAAGAGCACGGGTGACCCGAGCAAGTCGCACGACACAAAGCCAAGAGGCACGTTCTCTGCTGCCCAGTGCTAGTGCATCGTTGAACGATCGTTTGGATGGACAAGTTGTCATTCACCGTACCTTGGTCGCAACGGCAAGCACGTGGCGCCACACGGTCGAGCGAAGCGTATACGGGTTCGAGCCCTTGGTGTCCTGCAGCGACCATTGCCGGTGGACTGCATCCAGAAGCGCACGGCGGAGCCGGTGGCCGTCGAGCGTTGGAGCCGGGCCCGTCACGAGCGTCGACAAGGTCGAGCGGAGGCACTCGTCGTTGAAGCGCCCCGGGGCGCCGAGCCGCTGCATGTAGAACGCCTACAGACAAGGTGAGCAAGATGGACGATGGACAAAAAAAAGAGTGTACGTCAATCTGCGACAAGTCGACAATGTCCTTGGCCAAGGCGTCGTCGTCGGCGGCGTGCTTGGCTGTCCACGCGTGCATGCCACGCAGGACGGTGCCCGTCACCTGCTTGGGGCCCGTGAGCGAAAGCCGGGTGCTGGACCACGTAGTCGGTCGACGGCGCGCGCCAGACCGAGAAGAGCCGCGCGTCATCGACGCTCAAGTCGACGAGTCGGACGTGCACCGGCAGCTGCGCCAACACAAAGCGGCGTGCGACGTGGAGGTCGATTGACGCCGGCGAGAGCTCGCCACGCAGCAGTACAATGTCGTGCGGCGTCGCCGTCGTCGTCGTCGTC